TATGGGAACTGGGGTCCCTGTACCTCTGCATAGCTATTTCAGGAGATGGAGGGGCCCCAAGGGGGGGTGGTTGGGAGGTCTGTGCTTCCGCCAGCCCAGTTCACCCCCCCCCCCCAACAGGACCTGTTAACACAGGTCCCTTGGCCGCAAATATTTCATGCTCTGCTGACTTGGTGTCCGTGGGGTCCGTGACCTTGGGGACCTGTTGCCAAGGTTGGCTCTCTTAGCTTCTCTGGGCTGCTCTGATGGGGCTTTTGGATCGTTACGGCCCACGCAAAACTTGCAGAACAGCCCAGGGGTGAGGAAACGATGCAGGTCACGGTCCACAGAAGCGCACTGCTTATATAACACTCTGTTTTAAACAATCCCCCCAACAGCAAAAAGCTAATTTGCGGCACTGAGGGCAATGACCCTGCCGGAGCGCCCGGACCAGAGGGCTTCCCCGTGACATCCTCCTGCTGCGATCCCAGTAACGGCAAAGCAGAAACGGGGCTTCAGCCCTCCATCAGGGTGTGTGTGTGTGTTCTCGCTTAGTTTAGTGTCATTCAAACGATTCTGTGAAGCGTATGGCATTAACGATCGCCAGTTCGCTGTTAATATGGGGCAGAAACATCTGTGACTCTCGTCTAGTCCTGACAGAGACAAAAGCGGAGGCACAGAGAGGGTGAGGACTCCATGCCGGGAGGAGATGCTTCTCCTAGCAGAGTTTCCGGCGAGTGTTTCAGGTCCGCATCTCCAGTCTTTTCCTGCAAAGGCTTTGCTGCCGGTGGAGCACAAAGGCCAGCAGACAATGGCACCATCAGAGGTGTCCCTTAAGGTTAGAACCGGTGCAGCGAAGGGCCACTAGGACGGTGGCTGGTTTGTAGGGAAAGCCATATAGGAATGACTGACAGAGCTGGGTCTTTTCAGCCCTGAGAGAAGGAGACTCAGAGGGGACCTGTTAGCGACGTACAGGTGTGTGAGGGGGTGCCACGCAGAGGTGGGGAGAGACCTGTTCTCCCCTGCAGAGGAAGGCAGAACACGCTCCAACGGAGCAAAGCTCAGGGAGCCAAGGTTCCATTTGGATGCCAGGAAGCACTTCCTGACAGTCAGGACCCCGAGGGTGTGGAATGGGCTTCCACGGGAGGTGGTTGAGGCCCCAACAGTGAAAGTGTTCAAGGATAGACTGGACATGCACATGGTGGGCATGTCGTGAGTGGAGCTGGCTGGAGCCGGAGGTCAGACTAGATGGCCCAGGAGACCCCTTCTGACTCGTGCTGTTTTTCTATGTCCAGGACTCCTCAGAGCAGACCAAAAAGTAGGAGGCCCCAAATGCAGCGAGTAAAGTAAGATATACTGGGTTGGATCTCGGATCTGCCCTCTGCTCACATGAGGTCACTCAACCTGATCTGGGGGGATTCTCACGGCTCACTTATCTAGCAGGGCCTCCTCCCTCTCTGCGGAGCTTTGGCAGGGGTCTGGCAAGGCTGACATGGAAGGAGGGGATGGGGAAGCTCACTTCCATTGGCGCAGTCGCATGGGGAAGAGCATTTTGGAGAACCACCACACTGAAATCTGGCCCAAACTATATCCCATGAGGTGTTAAACTGAGGAGCTTGACTCTTTTACCAGATGACATGTGCATATTGGGTGGGAGGTCTCAAGTTCAGAGTTCTTCCATGCAAATTAAAACCTCCTTGCATCTAGCAAGCTAGCACCTCAGGGATAAACCTCAAACAGAGTCTTCTCCCTGATGTGCTAGCTTTCTAGATGCAGGGAGATTTGTTTTAATGTGGGGTAGCATTCCAAAATGACCCTCCTTCCAGCACATACATGGTGGGTCTGCCCACGATAGTCATATTCTCAAGCAGCTTTTGGTTTTCCTGGATTGTCCCCCATTGTCTTGTTAGAGGAGGAAGTTTACTTTGGATTTCAAAGGCAGTTCTAAGTGGAGGAACCTTGAGAAGCAGCAGGCATTTCCAGAGGCTGACCATATAAAGGCAAGGCACCACACTTTTAACACAATGCATTTTCTTCAGCGGATTTGTGTATTTGGTACAAATAAACAAAAGTTAATGTGCATTCTGGTTTTGCAAAGGCATACATAAATCAATCCAGCAGAACCATGTGGCAGGAAATAAAACCTCACTCCAGCTGATAAAGACACTTGCAGATTTTAAAAGGGAAGGAGCAAAGGGCATGGGGAAACGAGACTTAAAACCTCCAAAGATTTGTTAAAGGAAATGTACACCTATGTACACATCTGTAAACAATAAAATACAAAGGTTATCAGATATCAGTCTGGTATAATTGCAGAGAAAGTCTTCTTTCTTCTTTTGTCAGCAGTGAGATTTGGCTGATCCATGGGATTCCATCAACAGTGTCAAGCAGTTTCTCGTATCGGAGAAAAGAAATTCTTTGCGTGTGGGGTCAAATAGGAAAAGGCACCCATACCCCTACCTGTGATCCATGGTCCACAGTAGGTGCTTCACTTGGTCATTTAACAAATTCCCACTGCTGAAGAGGTAAGTCTGCTGAATAACGGGATGGAGGCTTGTCTCCTCAGCGGTGGGAATCACTGCTGTGAAAGGTCCAAGAGTAGCGATCGCAGTGTGCCATGTTCTCTCCTTCATGCACATAATCCTTTGGTGCATTTTTTGACTTGTGAAGCCGATCAGAGCACACCTGTCTTTATGAATTCTAATCTCCCCCCCCCCCCCCACTGGTCCCCCACCGCACCTGTGTAATCCTTTGCGGGCTGCAGTAACTTCACCTGAGTTTGGCCACGCAAGGCGGCGGAGGCAGCTGGTGAGGGATTGTTGGGAAAACCTGAGCCAGGAGTCCCGGCAGGAGCACCTGAAGACTTCTACTTCCCATGGATCTAAGCTGGGCTTGGGGTTTTTGGGATATTGCAGCTTCTAGCAGAGGACGGCACAGAAACCAGTCAGCGGCCTTTTGACCTCTCTCCCCATTTTCTCCTGATAAAAGGAGAACAGCCAGGGGAGATCTCGGGAAGGGATCCCATTCGCACGGTGCTGGGGCACCTCTTTCATTCCGAGGGTTGAATGCAATTTTGGAGAAGCTCTCGGGGTGGGGGGTGGGGGCTAAAGGCAAAGGGGGGGGGGTAGCCGAAAGCACAAAAATGTCAGCAACTTTTTGCGTTAGTCTCTTCTGCCAATCATGCATCCTTGCAAGAGGAGTGTCAACCTTCTGGAATTGGGGAAAAAACTGTGCAAAAGGCAGGAAACCACCAGAACATCTTCAGGGAGGTGGAAGAGGGTGAAAAGAAGGGAAAGAGCTAGAGCCCAGGGGTCTAGATTGGCTCCTCAGCAAGGCTGGATTTGTCCCACACCTCTGCGTTCCCCACCCTTCATGAAGGAGTTAGAAAGTAATATTTTGGGGAACTTGACAAAATATGAGTCGTCCATCATTGTCACGAAAAGGGCAACCATTTCCCCATCTTGTCACTGAGTATTCTCAATGCTCCAGGATGCATTGTGTGTGCGTGTGTGTGTGTGTTTTCCCAAGATGCTTCTGCAGTGCAGGAAGTGTGTGAGCCATTCCGAGGGCACGGCCCTCGATGATCTCATCGCATGGCCAACTCTGATTGGCTACAGAGCGCTATGACATCATCCTGTTTACAGCACGACTGTTGGCTACTTTGGATGAAATGACAGGAAATGCGTGACATGTCTTAAAAAGAATACGTCAAACTATACGTCAAATAAAAGCTATTTTTAGCCTGCAAATCCAAATAAGAAATTATTCGGTACAATCCCTGCTGCCACGGTATGTTCGGTGCCTACGAAGCGTGGCGCTTGTTCTGCAGCGTGAGCTCCCCCTTCGACCCTCCGTTGTTTGCAGAATGCTGCGGATTCCAGGGGTCCCTCCCACCAAAGCAAATATATTCCGCACATTCGGACCTTTGCAATGACTTCCAGTGGAATCTTGACTGAGTGCCAGCTGGATTTTGATCCTCAGTCAAAAGTTTGCCCATGAAAACATCTACAGGGATTGTTCAATGACTGTGCTGCTATTTTCAGCTCTTGGGTTTGATTCATAGTTGCTGGAGGACTTGATTGGCTGGCCTCCACCCAAGTCCAATAAACAAGCGGAGGGGAAAATACATTTCCCACCAAGATGTCCCACTGGAAATATTGCCACTGACTTAACAGGTTTGGGGTCCGGAAGGTTTGCTTACCTGCTGCCTCTTTGCGAGTGAGATTTGGCAAACTTGCCTCTTATCACTAAACCACGGAAGGGGTTGTGTGAATTCAGGCAGGGCCCATTTTGCGTGATGCTGTTGGCTAACTGTGGGGGACATATTTCGACAAACACCAGAATGGCTGCCTGTAATTCATCCTGTACTTTGACAGCAAGGAAGAAAGAGAACAGAAGCAGTCCTAACCTTTCCTTGGGTCTCTCTCTCCTTGCTGTTTCCTTTCTTCTGTCTTTCCTTCCTTACTTCCTTCCTTCCCACCTGTGTTTGCCTTTTTAGAATGCCACATTTATTTATTTATTTATTTAAAACATTTTTATGCTGCCCCCATCGCAACAAAGCCTCGGGGCGGCTCACAACACATGTGTGGCGACAGCATCCAGAATAATAGGGCAAATGCCAGGGCCTGCAGGTCCTAGAGAGGTAACTCTGGGATGGACCCCAGTAACCAGCTTGTCCCCGCACTCTCTTATTTATTTATTTTAACTAGGGTCCCTGGCTGGTGTGAAGCCAAACACTGACAAAGGCTTTACCCGCCTGCCATATTAATTTTCCCAGAATGCTTCTGGGGCCCTCTTTGTCATGGCAGCCCAGAAGCATTCTGAGAAAAGGACTATGGCAGGCAGTTGCGAGCTTAGCCAGTGCTTCTCTTTGCAATGTGCCTGCCACCCTAGAAAGAAAGAGAGAGAGAGAGAGAGAGAGAGAGAGAGAGAGAGAGAGAGAGAGAGAAAGAGATAAGGTAGGAAGGAAGGAAGGAAGAAAGAGAGAGGGAGGGAGGGAGGGAGGGCCTCAGTCTTCCCAGTCAGCTAACTGGAGGGGACACTAGGCTGGTACAAGACGGTGGCACTGGAAAGCACTGCTCCAATCCGGCACGAATTTTAACCCAATATAGTTTTCAAATGTGTGAACCCAGTTAGAGGCTGGTTCAAACTGGAAACCTTACCAAGTTGTGCCAGTGTGTGTTTTTTCCTTTATTCAGCATGGAAGCATGTGGGGATTCTGTCACGCCGGACTAAGTTAGAAGTAGAAAGTGGAGGCTTCTGTCGAGAGCATCTTAAAAGCTCAGGAAACTCTGATGCCATTCCAGAAAGACCGGCCTTCTTGCCTATGTGTTTCCTCAAAACACGAGCGAAATCAGGGTGTCCTATTGTATCTTTCCCATCCCTAGTGCCTTCCAGCCCTCTGGGACTTCAGCTCCCATCAGACAGCTTGCTACACCTGGGGGTCAGACTAGATGGCCTGGGAGACCCCCTCTGATGTGCTTTGTTTCCATGTTGCTATATCTGGAGGGCACCCATACAAGCCAGAATTCTGCAAAGAACGGAGCTCAGAATAAAGCTTTGCTGTTGGGTGAGTTTATGCAATGCACTGTTCTGTCTACGAGTATGAACTTGCATCCTTTATTTTGGATCCTGTTACCCCTTCCTTGGACTTTTTTCAGTGTCAGATAGTTCTGGCGCAGGCCATGTGATAAGTTTGGTCCTCTGTACCACGGCATACCCTTACCCATCGCAGAAACAGATCTATTTTGGTGCTCCTTAGTAAACCCTTGCCAACATCTCTTCTAGGCCTCATGAACACACCCTGGAACTCCTACTGGACTCTTGCCCCACACAGCCAGTGGGGTTTTTCTTTGCTGTCCACCTGTCTAGGATGGAGGAGATGCTGCAAGGAGAGCACCCCAATGAAGATCACCACTTGCTCCATCCAGGAAGCCATGGAGCCATGGACTCTCCAGGGCCGTCAGCCAAGAAGGTGCGTGCCCAGCCTGGCTCCTCGACCAGAAGCCCATCTGCGACCGGAGATGCTGTGGACTGAACAGGGCCGCCCGTGGGCGAGGCCTGTGCTCCACCGTGGAGTGAAGATGGCTTCTTTCCTCAGTCTACCCATCTCACACACGGGCTGCACACACCCTGGACAGCCAGCTGTGTATAAAACAGGAACAAAACACAACAGAACAAAACGGAAGCCCCTCCCCCCAAGGGTCGTGGGGGTGGCTCTCCCTGTTAGCATTAAATATCTGTTTCTTTAAGCCCACAGGACTCAGAATCCGTTAAATCGTCATACGTGTGATAGTCAATACACTCCATGAATTCATTCGGGATTCCTATGGAGACCGATTCCACTTCTGTCTTGTACGAGGCGGCCGCCCCTCCTTTCAAGGAGCCCGCCCGGATCTTGTTGGAGAGGCTGTTCATTTTCTCCTTGAACTGCGTTGTCGGTTTTTGGAAAGGGGAGAACATTCTCCACCGCTTGAAGTTCAGCGTTCTGCTCCTGCCGGGCCTTTCCAAGCTGCCCGAGTTCAATATGAAGGAGCCATTGAGGGTGGACACCCGGGACCGGGGCTCCCGGTCGGAGTCTTGGCCGGAGCCATTCATGGAGGCTCCCCGCCAGTGGTTATCGTACACTCTCCAGATGGGCCTTCTCCGCCGGCGGCACTGGCATTTCAGGAGCCGGATGAAGGCTCTCTTGAACTCCTTGCTGGAGCAAGGGTAAATGATGGGGTTCACGCAACTGTTGAAGTACCCCAGCCAGAAGATGATCTTGAAGGACATTCCCTCGGGCTTCACGGAAGGAAAGAAGGATCCTGAAAGGAAGGTGCAAAAGGACACATGAGCAGAAGAAAGGCCTGCTGGCCCATCATTCCCTCTGGGAGTGACGCCCGGGAAGGTGGTGGAGGTGAGTGCCAGTCCTCCAGGAAGCACCACTTATGCGCAAGGTAGAGGTGGAGGGAACTCCGAGTTTTATGGGCGCGCATCAATTGCTTTAGGGAAACGATCATGGAAACTGGACTCCCATGAAATCTGGACTGAACCTGCTCAGAAGCCATGGAATGCTGACTGACTGTTTCTCGGGAAAGGCTGAAGACCACGTGGAATTGGGGAGCGTTGCTTGATAGCCCAGCCTGGACCCTCAGGTCCACTCCAGCGCAGTCCATTGCATGGAAGGACTCTTGGATCTTGGTCTTGCAGACCAAATCTGGTTGCCCGTGGCTCTCCAGAGGGCCACGTCCCCTTTCCTGACTGCCAATTGTTTGGTGGATCCCCGTATTTTGTACAACTCTCTTCCTGTTCTAAAAGGTAGAACTGTCTCTGCTAAGGGTTAGCTACCATTAGTAAGAGCATTAAGTCACAATGTACTGATATTTGAGACATTTTTGGTTCTGTGTCTTCTGCCTTTGGTCTCTCCCAGTACTCCCTGATGGGGAGGCCTCAGGTTTCTCTCCATGAAGCTTTTAATCCACCACTTCACTAAGGCTTCTGCTTCCAGATTCTTCACAGGAGTAAATCAGCTCCTTTACCCATATTTTTATGCCCACCTTTCTTTTTTTGCCTTTCTAGAGGTCTCAATGCACAACCACAAGGTGGCAGTGTGGTATAGTGGAACTGCAAAAACACACACGATTCTCATTGAGGTTCATTCCCTCATTTTCAGACAATGCTCGGTTTTCCTCGCCCCACTAAAAAACCATGAGGGAAGACCTGGAGAAGGAGTACAGCATGTAAAGCAACCATGGGCGAAGGTGTGGGAGGAATCATGTGCATATCATGAACGTGTTGTGCAGAGAAGCCCCCTGCACGGCTCCTTCCATGTCAGAAGGTCCTCACTTGAATCTCCTTCTTTCTCTAGAGGTGGATCCTTCCCTATCTCAGGACGGAGAGTGCCATCTCAGGATGCAGGATGCGGCTGGGCGGCCTCTAGGAACTGGTGCTCGCCAGGGCAGCCTAAGGGCACACCTGGGCTTCTCCCAGACGTCTGGGAAACTGGATTTTTTATCAGTTTCTACATCACCCAATAGCTGGAGCTCTCTGGGCAGTTTAAAACAACACCTAAAACACAATCTAAAATGCAATCAACATTAACAATGTAATAATAAGTTCATCATACACCAATTAAAAGCAAATTAATGCACTTATAACAAGTTACACCAGCCTATATGAATTAACTGGACAAGTGTTTGTGCACCTCACAAAGCTTCAGGAACAGTGGCACCGGGCAGGCCTTAGTGGGGAGCTCATTCCATAACTAGGGCGCCAGCACTGAAAAGGGCTTCTCTCGTGAACCTCAACAGCTGAACCTCTCCTGGAGGTGGCAACTGGAGGCAGGCCCCAGAGCTTGGTCAAAGCGTCTGGGCAGGTTGTGGCTGGAGAGGTGCTCCATCAGGTACTGTGGTCTCAAGCTGTGTCGGACTTCATAGGTTGAAACTGGCACCTTCCCCACCCGCGGCCCGTTGAATGCGCCGGACTGCAACTTCCAGCCTCGCTGGCTGGAGGATGCAGTCCTCTTTTACAGAGGAGTGCTTTACCTTTGAAGGCATCTTCCATTTGAAGGGCTGTCCAAGGACTAATATCCGTCAAGAGTGAGCACCTAAGCAGCGGACGGAACAGATGGACACCCGGGTCACCTAGACACCATTTCGGCAGCATCTTCCGATACATGGTATTTCTGCTTTTCTAAACACACACACACACACACACACACACACACACACACACACACACACACACTAGCACATGCACATTTAAAGCAAACAGATGCCTTCTTTTTCCTCTTTTTCATTTTGGCGATGCGTCTCCTCCTTTAGGGGGTGATTCCCATGTGGCCAAAGTGCCAACACATCTGGTGGCATCTGGCTGGAGGAGGCTGCCTCCGAGTATTTCTAGAGTGGCATCCATGTAAGTGCTTTTGGCCCAGGCTTAACTGAGGTATTAGGAAGAGATTTGTCTGTAAAAATAACCCAGGAAGCTCCCAGCCTGACTTCCGTTGTCCTCCCAGACCTTCCTGCACAGGAAATTGAAATCCCAGGGACAAACCTGTTGTTTGCGATGTACCAATTGTGAGGTTTGTGATGTTCCTGCCTCACTGGGAATGCCTTCCTCTGCAAAGTTTAATTCCCCTTTAATCCTGGATTTCTCTGCCTGGAGTGGCTGCAGTTCCTCACTCCTGCCAGCAGAGGGACACGTGGACCACCCTGAGCTTGCTGGGCTAGCGCCCAGGGAACTCTAAGAATAACTTTCTGACTCAGACTCAGTGTCTTTTAATTTTAGATGAATCATGACACTGCGTGACTGTGGTGTTAATTCGTATTATGGGTAAATAACATGCGCTTCCAGGCACTGGCGCTAAAGGCCAGTGTCAAAACAGCTTGCAGGGGGGGAGCGTTTGGCACCGCGGACAGGAAAACCTGCACATCCTGAATGCAAGAATGAAAGCACACACAAACATCATTTGCCGGCCGATCCAGCAGCTTCCGAAGTCTGGTAATAGAAACGAGCATCATGGTTTCCGGTACCCACATCAACGGGGGCCTGTGATTTACGAGCCGCACTTTCAAAGGGATTCCCGGGTAAGCCTCTTGGCCTCTCCGGGATTGCCGGACCCTCAAGGGGAATCTGGCTCCTTCCCCCCATGGTCTGTGCGACGGAAGCCAGGCACACGAGGACACCCGCAATGGTGCAGAGGGTGTTGTGTCCTGGCTACAGGACCTCCGCCAGCCTTGTGCCCCAACGATAAGTCAGACTGCACTTCCCATCAGTCCCAGCAGTGCCAGCTCTGGGGCAAGACCCACCCTCAAGGAGTGGGTCTTCTCGCTACCTGGCCACCAGCTGCCCTTGCTCCACCTCCTCTTTTATCTCTTTGCTGCCATTTGCTTGATGGTAGAAAAAGTCAATTGCGAGTGAGTGGGCCGTGGCATCTCTTTCCTTTTCCCTGCGACGGTTGTCTGAGCCAGAGCGAGAGACGGGCAAAGAACCAGCTGCAAGGGTGAAGAGGAGGCACAACTCCAGGAGGTCCTTCTCAGGGGGCCCCTGCTGGGGTGTGGTCCCTTGGCAGAAGCCCTGTTACGCCTGCCTTTGACCCAGCCAACCTCAGGGGGTGTGTTTCCACTCTGGTGGAGGCTACAGGCTTGGCAGAAGACCTTGTGGGCATCCCAACGGATTCCTTGGTGGGCATGTGACGTTCTGTTCCTGGAGTGAGTTTACCCACCCTTGATTCCTCCGGGCTGTCATGGAGCCACTGGATGGCAGTTTTGCATGCCAAAGACCCTCTGCTCAATACAGGGAGGGCTGGAAGAGACCCTGAAAGCCGGCAGGGCCACTGCCAGCCAGCCTCAAGGTGAGATACCTCCTTGTGTGGACCAGCCGTCCAGGTGAGATACCTCCCTGCGGGCCAGCATTCCAGGATCAGCATGCGGGCAGGAAGGGAGAAGCCAAGTCGAGCTTGCCCCTGGCCCCACTGCTGGTTCTCTCCATCTGGGGGAAGAGGGTTTCAGGGTCTCTTCCAGCCCTACCTGTGCCATGCCAGGCTCTGCTTGCTTGGTCGACAGGTGGCACAGCAATGCCAGGATGGACATTCAAAGCCCCGGACAGTTCTAGATATTTGAGTGTTCTTCTCCAGGGGCCCCTTCCAAAGGAAGAGGTCTTTTTGGTTGTGGCACCCTGTCTGTGGAGCGAGCTCCTCAAAGAATCGCACCTGCTGCCTGCTTTGTGTTCTTTTTGGCACCAGGTGGAGCCTGTTTTTATTTCCGCAGCGCTTTAATAGTTCAGCTCTGCAACCTTCTTTTTATACATCCCATTTTATTCTCCATTCCGTGCTGAATCACAGCGATTGTCAATGCTATTATGGTTTTACTCTTTTAGCTGAATGAATGTTCCTGTCCTTTCAATGTTGGCTAAATTTTAACTTTTGTTAGCTGCCCAGGGAGCCTTGGCTGTTGGGAGGTACCAAAATAAAATAATACATAAATAAATAAATTTGTGCCTGACCATGTCTTCCCATAATGCCAGCCCTTGAACTCGGCCTCCTCCCTAACCTCTTTAGAGGGTCACGAGGATCAGCTTGCTTCCACTGACGCGTAGGAAGCCAGCCCTGTTGTGATTTCAGACCTCCTGCTTGTTCCTCTGCAAAGGGTCCCGGGCATCTGCCCTGAAGTCCTACCCCACCGGTGCCATTGTTCCCAGAGCTTCTGTTGCACGTATACCAAGAGCAAAGCACGGTACCTGCGTCGGGCAAGGACATCCCTCCCCGCTGCACCACTGCTCCGGGAGTATTTATGAAGATGCTACTTCTCAGTGATCTGCTAAATGTCCTGTTACACAACCAAATGGAGATTTATTCAACCCTCGCCTCCCCGCTCAGGCAAAGAACGGGGTTGTGTGCCTGTGTCTCTGTGTGTTTGCTTTGTCGCCCGCGAATCCGGCTGCTCATTGATGAATTACTTGCCCGCTACTGAACGCGATGCTGGGCCAGCCATGTGAGCTGCTATTCTTGGCTCCGTTCATCCTCGGGGCTACATCCGTTCTGAAAGCAGCCCCTCTGCAGTAAATGAATTTGTACCAAGGGAGAAATTGGCCCCTGCCCTACATGGGCCTAAGAGAGCCATTAAGTCCTTCCGTGGATTAAAATGTCTATCAATGGGACATGGCCAGGGATATTTATTATCCTCTAAGCGGGATGAGTTGAACTGCTTGATCGGATATATAAAGTCGCTGCATGGGCTGAGAGGTATTTGCCAGGAGGAGCAGGAGCTGCTGACCTGGGGGCTCAATCCAAATTTTGGGGGCTCCCACCCCACTCCAGCATGCAAGG